AGTGCAGTGGCATGATCTCAGCTCACTGTAACCTCCGCCTCCTGGGTTTAAGCGATTCTCCTGCCTCAGCCTCCTGAGTAGCTAGGACTTCAGGCGCCTGCCACCACACCAGGCTAATTTCTTGTATTTGTAGTAAAAACAGGGTTTCACCATGTTGGCCAGGCCAGTCTTGAGCTCCTGACCTCAGGTAATCCACCCGCCTTGGCCTCCCAAAGTACTGGGATTACAGGCATGAGCCACCGTGCCTGGCTGATTTGTTCTTTAAAAAAAAAAATGTATATGAAGTGTGTAACAGGAAATTAATTTGTTCTTCAAATACTAGAATACTAGAACAAGAGGTTAAATCTTAACACTTGAAAGGGGGTTTAAGGAATAGGAAAAGATGGACGGCCCTATCAAACAGTGAAAGAGCACTGGGCTGGGGAAAAAGACCAGTTGTATATTGCAACCTCTGAAAAGCCGAAGGATGTTTCTAAGCCTTAGTAACTGTCTGTAAAAGGAGGTCGGAGTTCTAGCTTCTAACAGTCTGTGATTACTACATAAATCGCTTCTACAAACTAAATAGGTAGGATTTTAGAATGAGAAAAGGCATGCAAGGATTTTGGGCTCTGAAAAAAAAAAAGAGAAAATGTGGGAAAGATGACTAATTGTCCCAATATACCTCTTTATTTCTCTCTCTCTCTCTTTTTTTCTTTCTTTTTTTTTTTGTGACAGAGTCTCGCTCTATTGCCTAAACTGGAGTGCAGTGGCATGATCTTGGCTCACTGCAACCTCCACCTCCTAGGTTCAAGAGATTCTCCTGCCTCAGTCTCCTGAGTAGCTGGGATTATAGGCACACGCCATCATACCCAGCTAATTTTTGTATTTTTAGTAGAGACAGTGTTTCACCATGTTAGCCAGGTTGGTCTCCAACTCCTGACCTGAGTCAGCCTCCCAAAGTGCTGGGATTATAGGCATGAGCCACTGCGCCTGGCCTCTCTTTCTTTAAGAGACAGGGTCTCACTCCTTTGCCCAGGCTGGAGTGCACTGGCGCTACCATAGCTCATTGCAGCTTTGAACTCCCGGGCTCAAGCCATCTTCCTGCCTCAGCCTCCTGAGTAGCTGGGACTACAGATGCATGCCACCACATCTGGCTAACATTTTTATTTTTTGTAGAACCAGGGTCTCGCTATGTTGCCCAGGCTGATTTCAAACTCCTGGTCTCAAGCAATTCTCTCACCTTGGCCTCCCCAAGTGTTGGGATTACAGGTGTAAGCCACCATGCTAGGCCCCAATATTTATTTTTGAGATGGAGTGTCGCTCTGTTGCCCACGCTGGAGTCCAATGGCACGATCTCAGCTCACTGCAACCTCCACCTTCCAGGTTCAAGCCATCCTCCTGCCTCAGCCTCCCAAGTAGCTGGGATTACAGGCGCCTGCCACTACGCTGGCCTATTTTTGTATTTTTAGTAGAGATGAGATTTCATGTTGTTGACCAGGCTAGTCTCAAACTCCTGACCTCAAGCGATCTGCCTGCCTCAGCCTCCCAAAGTGCTGGGATTACAGGTGTGAGTCACCATGCAAGGCCATGTCCCGATATTTTTGATATGCCTTCTATTGCATTCTACAAGTGGCCCTAGGCCAGGGGCAGTGGCTCATGCCAGTAATCCCAAAACTTCGGGAAGCTGAGGCAGGAGGATCACTTGAGGCCAGGAGCTCAGACCTCTACAAAAATTTATTTAATTTAATTTATTTTTTTGAGACGGGGTCTCACGCCCAGGCTGAAGTGCAGTGGTTTGATCACGGCTCACTGCAGCCTCAACCTCCCAGGCTCAAGCAATCCTCCTGCCTCAGCCTCCCAAGTAGCTGAGACTGGAGACTATAGGTGTGCATCACCACACCCAGCTAATTTTTAAATTTTCTTGTAGAGACAAGGTTTCACCATGTTGCCAAGGCTGGTCTCGAACTCCTAGGCTCAAGGGATCTGCCCTCCTCGGCCTCCCAAAGTGCTGGGACTGTAGGCATGAACCACCATGCCCAACTTCTACAATTTTTTTTTTTTTTTTTGAGACAGAGTTTTCCTCTGTTGCTCAGGCTGTAGTGCAATGGTGCGATCTTGGCAAACTGCAGCCTCTGCCTCTCCAGCTCAAGCAATTCTCATGCCTCAGCCTCCTGAGTAGCTGGGATTATAGGTATGTACCACTATGCTCAGCTAATTTTTGTATTTTTAGTAGAGATGGGGTTTCACCATGTTGGCCAGGCTGGTCTCAAACTCCTGGCCTCAAGTGATCTCCCCGCCTCAGCCTCCCAAAGTGCTGGGATTACAGGTGTGAGCCACCATGCCCCGCACCACCAATTTTTTTTTTTAATTAGTTGGGCATAGTGGTGCACACCTATGGTCTCGGCTACTTGGGAGGCTGAGACGCTGTCTCAAAAACAACAACAAAAGAGTGGAGTGGCTCTATTTTCTTTATGGAAGACCAGAACAGTAAAAGAGGAACTGGCAATTCAGCAGTGAATTCTATACTGAGGTAATGGGTCTTAAAAAAACAAAATAGCGAGAGTGCTTCTAGGGTTAAATTTTCCTAAGAGCAAACATGAGACAAACAAGGTGCCCGTCCTTACTGGCCAAGAGTTATCATACTAGAATGCTTTCAGTTCGGTATTCCCATCCACCTGTACTCCCCTGACACTGGAGCACCATAGAAACACTCAGATAGAATTCCCACAGGTAAAGGATCACTTCCAGCAGCTCCGCCAGGGTATATATGTCTTCAGCCATCTGAGGGAACACTTTGGAATCTGAAGAGATATGTAAATTTATATAAAATGGGTGTTTATAAGCAACAAGCTATTTCCTCTTACCACTAACATGGGGAAATTTCCATACTGGCACATATTTATATGAAAAGCAGAGATCTTTTTCTATGAAAATCACCTTTTAAAAAAAATTTTTGTCCTGACTTGTGTATATTCCTTTGGAGTCATTACATTGCCTTCCTCCTTTTTTTTTTGGCCCTCCTATACAGAGACTATGGAAGAGAGTACCTGGATCTAGTTTATTCCAAAGAGAGACAAGCAGTTTGTGCGTCCACTCCAGATTCCAGGATGACTAAATACCATGATTACACTTAACAGAACAAGGCCGGGTGCGGTGGCTCATGCTTGTAATCCCAGCACCTTGGGAGGCAGAGGTGGGCGGATCGTGAGGTCAGGAGATCGAGACCATCCTGGCTTACACCATGAAACCCCGTCTCTACTAAAAATACAAAAAATTAGCCAGGCGTGGTGGCGGATGCCTGTAGTCTCAGCTACTCGGGAGGCTCAGGCAGGAGAATGGCATGAACCCGGGAGGCGGAGCTTGCAGTGAGCCGAGATCGCACCACTGCACTCCAGTCTGGTCGACAGAGTGAGACTCGGCCTCAAGGGCCAAGGAAAGCCATTTAGATCTTTGGGTTTCATTTGCTTCTCTTAAGCATCTTTTATTTTTGCACTTGAACGTCTGGTAGAGCATTTTGATGATGATACACAAATACGAATAAATGGACGAGTGACTAGCTAAATAGAACACAATATTTTGAAAGATTTGAGTCAAAAATAGTAGGCAAATCGAAGAAGCAATCCCAAACAGATGCTATCTTTCAGAAATTAACAGATTGTTTCACCTGCAGCATAGTCCCATCCCAGAAAGGGCATTCCTGCATTACAATCATTTATGCTTGGATAAAGGCAAAACGAACAGCTGTCCAAGAAACACCCTCATTACCTGAGGCCTATGGCAAAAACACGTCTCCTTTCTTGGAGTCTAAGTAGACTTGATCAAAATCACCCACAGCTATAAATTCACATTATAATATCACACACCAAAGCCTCAGTGAATATCTTGGACAAACAGATATGATCCATTCACTTAAAGGTGAAATCACATGGTTGAACTAAGTATATTGCAATTCTGCTAAACTCATTTAGAAGCTGGCTCAAGGACGGGTGCGGTGGCTCACGCCTGTAATCCCAGCACTTTGGGAGGCAGAGGCGGGCGGATCACTTGAGGTCAGGAGTTAGAGACCAGCCTGGCCAACATGGCGAAACCCCTTCTCTACTAAAAATACAAAAATTAGCAGGGCGTGGTGGCGCGCGCCTGTAATCCCAGCTACTCGGGAGACTGAGGAAGGAGAATCGCTTGAACTGGGGAGGCGGAGGTTGCGTTGAGCCGAGATCGTGCCATTGTACTCCAGCCTGGGCAACAATAACGAAACTCCGTCTCAAAAAAAAAAGAAGCTGGCTCAATATAGCTGTCCTCTGATAAGCCCAATGGCTCTCTATCCCTTCGAACACTCCTCCTTCCATTTCAGGCCCCAAGGCCTGTTCTGCAACTAATCTGACATCTTTCCATACTTTGGAAGCCTCGGGCTCCACCACACCCTATCCCCACCAGATTTCTACCCTCCTACCAACAAACGTGCATGAGTTGACATACCAAACCAACTCTTAGGGCCAAACTAATCCTGTTCCCCTCAGTTCTCAGAAACTCAAGCGTCCTAACGAATCTTAAAATTCTGATGAATCCATTCCTTTCCCTTGGAACGTCTGGCCCTTGGGTTGACTCCTCGGCTTCCATGGTCACAACTAGCTGTGGTTCTCCTGGCCCCTTCCTATCCCTCTCTTCGGGGCCTCTGCCAGAGTTCACACTGAACCTGTTTCCTCATCTGTAGGACCCTTGGAGGTTGGGAGGAGGCCTATATGACCGCCCCCCGCAAGCCAACTCCGGATCTAACATTGAAGGGGCCCAGCATTCCCCTAGACCCCCACTCTTTCTCTTGCCCACGCCCCAAACTCTTTCTCCACCCAGGCTCCGCTACCACCTCGCCCACTCGCCTAGCATCACACGCCGCGGCCCAAGCTCCCCTAGCCCCTGCTTCCGGGCTTTCCCTGCAGTTCTGCTTCCGGCCCTCGGCCCTTCCCACAGCGGGGCGCCCCCTGCCCTCGCCCGGCCCCTCGAGCCGCTCGCTCGCGGGCTCTCACCTCTCGAAGAGCAGCCTCACGAAGAAGATGCCCGCCGCCAGCGGGAACACCGAGAGGATGTGCCGGCCGCGCGGGTAGCCGTAGCCGTCGGCCGGCCCCTCCAGATCAGCCCAGGTCACGTTCTGGGGTAGCCAGAAGCGCTCGCTCCACAGCCAGCCCCACAGCAAGCTTAGGGGTCCCTGCGCTGCTGTCGCCATCTTACGCCCACCCCGAGCCACCGCCGCCACAAGCGTCAGCTGCCGCCACAGCCAACGGAACCCGCGGGGAGGCGGCCCCAGGGCGGGGCCCGACCAGCGGCCACCCCCTTCCGGCCCCTTCTGATCACCGCCACGGATCTGCCCGCCTCCCCGGCAGAGCCGGGCCTCTTCACCGCCCATCTCTCCTCCCGACCCACTTCCCTCACCGCAACCCGGGAACCGCCTCCGGGGATCCACGCCCCTTCCCGAGCCTCTGACTCGCCCAGCCGGGTCCTGGGGCCACGCCCCGGGCGGTGGTGGGCCCGCCCTCTTTTGCTGCTGGTCTTGGCCGCGCTTCTGCTCCCCACTCACTCCTCCATCCAGCCACGGCCACACCCCTTATTTCAGGCCTAGCTCCTTTACGGGGACGTTCTCCTTTCTCAGCCTGTCAGAATCAAGTACGTTCCCGCTCCCACCCAGGCGGTATCTCTGTCTCCACTGCTGGAGGCCAGATCGATCTCTCAGGTCATGGCTTCTCTTGGATCTCTGCTGGTCCTGCCCACTACTGTCTGCCACCAGAGTTCTTTTTGCTCCCAACCTTTTCTTCCCTTCGTGCCCCATGACCGCAGCCTACTTTCACTGCTTTATCCCTTAAAAATTAGTCACTTTGGGCCGGGCGCGGTGGCTCAAGCCTGTAATCCCAGCCCTTTGGGAGGCCGAGACGGGCGGATCACGAGGTCAGGAGATCAAGACCATCCTGGCTAACACGGTGAAACCCCGTCTCTACTAAAAAAAAACACAAAAAACTAGCCGGGCGAGGTGGCGGACGCCTGTAGTCCCAGCTACTCGGGAGGCTGAGGCAGGAGAATGGCGTGAACCCGGGAGGCGGAGCTTGCAGTGAGCCCAGATGGTGCCACTGCACTCCAGCCCGGGCGACAGAGCGAGACTCCAAAAAAAATTAGTCACTTTTCCTCGGAAAAGATGGACTTAACAGTTTGCAAAAGGCCGGGAGCGGTGGCTCACGCCTGTAATCCCAGCACGTTCGGAGGCCAACGCAGGCGGATCACCTGAGGTCAGGAGTTTGAGACCAGCCTGGCCAACATGGCAAAACCCTGTCTCTACTAAAAATACAAAAATTAGCCGGGCCTGGTGGCGCTGTGCCTGTAATTCCAGCTACTCGGAAAGCTGAGACAGGAGAATCGCTTGAACCTGGGAGGTTGCAGTGAGCCGAGGTTGCAGTGAGGTTTGCAGTGAGCCGAGATCGTGCCATTGCACTCCAGCCTGGGCGACAGACCAAAGACTCCGTCTCGAAGCAGTAATGAAAATAAAAGAACAGTTTACAAAAATCCTTTTATTCTTCTCTTGGGGAAAAGGAAACCGAAGAAAAACAACTCGAAAAGGGAGGCACTTGTCCGGCGCGGTGGCTCACGCCTGTAATCCCAGCACTTTGGGAGGCCGAGGCGGGCGGATCACGAGGTCAAGAGATCGAGACCATCCTGGCTAACACAGTGAAACCCGTCTCTACTAAAAATACAAAAAAAAAAAAAAAAAAAGAAAAAGAAAAAGAAAAAAAAAATTAGCCGGGCGTGGTGGCGGGCGTCTGTAAGTCCCAACTACTCCGGAGGCTGAGGCAGGAGAATGGCGTGAACCCGGGAGGCGGAGCTTGCAGTGAGCCGAGATGGCGCCACTGCACTCCAGCCTGGGCAACGGAGCGAGACTCCATCTCAAAAAAAAAAAAAAAGGGAGGCACTCAAAAAATATTCCTAAAGGCAGGGCGGGTGCGGTGGCTCACGCCTGTAATCCCAACACTTTGGAAGGCCGAGGTGGGCGAATCACCTGAGGTCAGGAGTTCCAGACCAGCCTGGCCAAATTGGTGAAACCCCACCTCTACTAAAAACAAAAATTAGCCAGGCGTAGTGGTGCATGCCTGTAATCCTAGCTACTCGGGAGGCTGAGGCAGAGAATTGCTTGAACCCGGGAGGCTGAGGTCACAGTGAGCCGAGATCGCGCCATTGCCCTCCAGCCTAGGTGACAGAGCGTCTCAAAACAAAACAAAAAAAGGCCGGGCGCAGTGGCTCACGCCTGTAATCCCAACACTTTGGGAGGCCGAGGCAGGCGGATCAAGAGGTCAGAAGATCGAGAGCATCCTGGCCAACATGGTGAAACCTCATCTCTACTAAAAATACAAAAAATTAGTCCGGCGTGGTGGTAGTCCCAGCCTGTAGTCCCAGCTACTCGGGAGGCTGAGGCAGGAGAATGATGTGAACCTGGGAGGCGGAACTTGCAGTGAGCTGAGATCGCGCCAAGGCACTCCAGCCTGGGCGACAGAGTGAGACTTCATCTCGAACAAACAAACAAACAAACAAACAAAAAAATCCTTTAAATTTAATTTGACTGGTTTGTTTGCATATTTTTGTGTGTGAAGGAGTCAGTATCACACCCAGGCTGGAGTGCAATGGTGCCATTTCTGCTCACTGCAACCTCCGCCTCTGGGTTCAAGAGATCCTCCCTTCTCAGCTTCCAGAGTAGCTGGGACTACAGACACGTGCCACCACACCCGACTAATTTTTGCATTTTTTGATAGAGCCTGGGGTTTCACCATGTTGGCCAGGCTGGTCTCGAACTCCTGACCTCAAGTGATCCGCCTGTCGCAGCATCCCTGTTGGGAATGAAGTTTTTGGTGTCGCAAAAAAAAACCCCCAAAACAAACAAACAAACAAACAACAACGCAGGAACAAATGATCTTTCAGCAAGGCAAGCTTTACTTTCTGCAGAAAGGGTGCTACTCAAAAGCTGTCCAGCCACGAGAACACACAAAACAAAGGAGACAGAGTTATTTATAATCTGACGCATCTACCTTACTGCTGTGTCCATTTTCCATTGGCTGAATAGGACCTCACATTTTACACTTTACCTGATTGGCTATTAGTTTAACACTTTTTTAATTGGGTAAGGGGAACAGAACAAAGAAAGAAAAGGAAGTTGCCCAGGGATCTTTAGGGAAGCATCTCCGAATAAGGAATGGCATGCACTATAGGCTGGGGCTTGTCTAGTTCTGTCCAGGCATGCCGGAGCAAGCTAGGACAGCTGATTTGGAAAACACACACACACACACACACACACACACACATAGTGGGTAGCAATCTTATAGTAAGAAATTGTGACTTTTTATAATCTTCAAAGTAGAGCTTTCCCATTTCTCACACTCGCAAAGTGCTGGGACTACAGGCGTGAGCCACTCCGCCCAGCCTAAAGTTTTTTTTTTTTTGAAACGGAGTCTCGGTCTGCAGCCCAGATTGGAGTGCAGTGGCGGGATCTCGGCTCACCGCAGCCTCTGTCTCCTGGGTTCAAGAGATTCTCTCCCCTCAGTCTCCTGAGTAGCTAGGATTACACGCAGGCGCCACCACGCCTGGCTAATTTTTGTATTTTTAGTAGAGATGGTGTTTTGCCATGTTAGCCATGGAACCCCTGACCTCAAGTGATCCACCTGCCTGGGCCTCCCAAAGGGCTGGGATTACAGGATTGAGCCACCACACCTGGCTGAAATTTTTCTTTTTTTTCTTTTTTTTTTTTGAGTCGGAGTCTCGCTCTGTCACCCAGGCTGGAGAGCAGTGGCACGATCTCAGCTCACTGTAAGCTCCTCCTCCCGGGTTTACGCCATTCTCCTGCCTCAGCCTCCCGAGTAGCTGGGACTACAGGCGCCCGCCACCTCGCCCGGCTAATTTTTTGTATTTTTGGTAGAGACGGGGTTTCACCCTGTTAGCCAGGGTGGTCTCGATCTCCTGACCTCGTGATCCGCCTGCCTCGGCCTCCTAAAGCTCTGGGATTACAGGCGTGAGCCACGGGGCCTGGCCTAATTTTTGTGTTTTTATTAGAGACGAGGTTCCACAATGTTGGCCAGGCTGCTCTTAAACTCCTGACCTCAGGTGATCCACCTGCCTGGGCCTCCCAAAGTGCTGGGATTACAGGTGTGAGCCACCGAGCTCGGCTGGTTTGCTTCATTTTAGTTCAGTGCCTCTCAAACTTTAGCATCAGTTCAGATATTAGCTTGTCCCATCTCGCACAAGGAGAGTTTCTTTAAGTTCCTGGACCCCATCCAGAGAGATCCTGCTTTCAGGAGTTTGGGGGTAGGATCTACGAATTTGCATTTCCCATTTCTAACAAACTCATAGGTGATGTCACTGCTGCTGTTCTGTGAGCCCTTGCCTGAAGCCACTTCCATCCAAACCCAGCAATAGCTTCATGGTAACTACACTATATTAAGATACAGTTTTAAAGGGCTGGGCACGGTGGCTCATGCCTGTTATTCCAGCATTTTGGGAGGCTGAGGCAGGCAGATCACCTGAGGTCAGGAGTTCAAGACCAGCCTGGCCAACATGGCAAAAACCCACCTGTACAAAAATACAAAAATTAGCCAGGTATGGTGGCAGGTGCCTGTAGTCTCAGCTACTCTGGAGGCTAAGGCAGGAGAATCACCTGAACCCAGGAGACGGAGGTTGCAGTGACCCGAGATTATGCCACTGCACTCCAGCCTGGGCAACAAATGGAGACTCCATCTCAAAAAAAAAAAAAGATATATTTTAAAAGGAAGTAATAAACCCAGCCCCATGGGATTTTCAATCAGCATCTCAAGGAACAGAAGACATACTAACTTAGCATGCAAGAACCACCCGTACACAATGATCTTGGTCTGACACCCTATTCATGATTCTTTTTTTTTTTTTTTTTGAGATGGAGTCTTGCTCTGTCACCCAGGCTGGAGTGCAGTGGCGCAATCTTGGCTCACTGCAACCTCCGCCTCCTGGGTTCAAGCAATTCTCCTGCCTCAACCTCACAAGTAGCTGGGATTACAGGTGCATGCCACTACATCCAGCTAATTTTGTATTTTTAGTAGAGATGGGGTTTCGCCATATTGGCCAGGCTGGTCTCCAACTCCTGACCTCAGGTGATCTGCCCGCCTTGGCCTCGCAACGTGCTGGGATTACAGGCATGAGCCACTGTGCCTGGCCCCTATTCATGATTCTATCCCCAGAAAAATGAGCATGTACCAATTCCCAGTCTCTTGGCTGTTGGGAAACATTGCTAATGATATATGTAATGCAAAGCAAATTTGCTTTCACCTTGGCCAAGAGTGATCCAGCAAGTCACTGGAACCAAGCTGGCCTTGTAGCAGTCATGAGCAGAGCCTCCTTAACCATCTCAAGTCCCAAGCTAGCCCCTTTTTCTGCCTTACCAACAGAAAAGCTCTCAT